CTGCTTTGCAGGAGGCTTGTGTTTCAGTAGCTTGCAGGACAAAGTTCTCTTTTGATCATGAACTTTGCTGTCCAGTGCCTGAAAAATTAAACCTGGAAAACTCCCCGAGTTAAGCCTAAAGAAATATGCACCACCAGTGGAGAGCAATGCTAATGTTTAACTAGCTGGAATAGCTGTTTGCTTAGCGGAGAATGTGAGGTATCTGACAGAAGGGACATCTCTCTTATTAGTAATCAAATCGGGCTGACCAGTTGTTGCCATCACTCTGGGATCGTGTCAGGCAATCGAGAACAAGCTCACCACTTTATAGAACTCGAAGCACCCCCCAAAAATCAATATCATTATATTTGTCTTTAGTGGTTTAGTTATGGAAATCATATAGCACTGGATTGTTGCCGGGTGAGCTGGATTTATTTTTGCTTTATTGGCTAAAAAGAATAGTTGGAAGTGGAGGAATCTTGGCGGCGTGGTGAACGCAAGACGGCGCGTTACAGTTTTAATGATTGGATTACGTGTGTGCTCATTGTTCGGAGTTTCCAAGACATGTGTGACTTTTGCAGATGCAAACAGGGAAGTGCCTTAAAGGGTGGCTACAAAACGCAACGAAAATTAGCTGGGAATGAAAATTGGGATAATATTTGGCTGCGATGTTCTTGGTCGGACTTTAACTCAGAGCCACGGTCAGGGCGATCGTTGAACGTACACTGAGAAATGCACGAGTAGTTGATGCTGATGGTCCACATGCCCGCCACTGCGCTGCGCACATAACGCTGTTCCATGATTAGGGATTATAATGATATATCCATAATAACATCCTGGAATGGCTGCAAGATGATTTATATCCGTTCTGTGAAGGGTGGTCCTGGTAAAATTGAAATGAGCTATACAGTGTCACGGCTTGCATCCCTCCCCCCCAACTATCGGAAGTATGTTATAATTTGATATTCCAGAAGCATGAGAAGGTATAAAAAAAAATCAGAAAACATTTGGTTAATGGGTTTATCATGTTTATTTGAATAAGGAAGATTGAAACTCCATTTATGCCCAACGTAAATGCTTTAGAGATCTTAATTATTGATGAAAAATCTGCCGTGCTTCTAAATTTAAAGATATGACGATTTTATAGGAATTTTAATCACCTTCCGCATTAGGAATTTCCAAGCTTTGCTGTTTACGAGGGTGGCATCTCTTTTAGCCTTCCAAACAGAGGTGTCACTTAGCACGTCAAATCCTGGGGGCATCGGGCTGCATCCTGCGTGGGGCTTGGAGCAGAGGTCAGCGTGGAGCAATTCCTCCCAAGATGTGCTTTGGAAAACTGACTGGAATGTTTGCTGTGAGCAAACTGCAGGAGGGAAGCGTGGATGGGAAAACCTCCTCCGAAACCACTGCCGTCGGGTTTAAATACCTGGTATTTGTGCTCGCTGGACCCGCCTGTTAACAGTTTGTTCCCTAAATTTGTTGTCAGTGTTGGATTTTGGGTTTGCTTTTTCTCCTGAGCATCCCAGGACAAGGTTTCCCCATCCAATTTGAGGGTCAATTTACAGTTTCCCATAGGAAGTGTTACCGCTTGGTTAGCTGGCTTAAAAAAAATAATAGAATTATCTACAATATGCTTCACTAGATCCTTTTGTCCTTTGGATACATTTAGCAGCTTTTGACCAGATAAGGCATATTTGTCCTCAGGATATGAACCAATAATTCAACCCTGAATTGAGATCTATGGCCACCCGTTTGTTCCAGCCCACACTAGGAGTCTCTGATAGTCTGAACTGTTTATAGCACCAGGGAAAAAAAATAACAGGAAGGGGAAAAAAAAGCCCACCCCTTCTTCTGCACATCAGGAATAATAATTCATTAGCAATTAAGGTATTTTAAATAAACTTCTGGAATTATACGTCTGAATCCTGCAGTGGACTTTAAATGTAAACCCAAAGCAGAGGCCTTGGAAGGAGTTTTGTGTGTCGCAGCCTCGGCGACCTTTTAATTCATGGAGAATTGTTATTTACGTTGCCTGGATGTTTCCCACGGAGCGTGGCTGAGTGTGTGCACTTTTATTACTGTATGCCTTTAAGTATCTCCTGGCATATCGGGGCTATTCATACCGCACAGTCACTCACGGAGGAAAGAACCAGCCCACCATAAATTGCAGCGCAGTCAGTAAAAAGATGCCACAGACAAAAAGTGTCCCTGGGAAATTCGATTGACCCAAAAGAAAAGCAAATAAAAGAAAGGAAAAGGCCCATATTTTCTTTGCGGTGTTGCTGAAAAGGATGGGAGTATCATTTTCATAGTGGAATAATGTTTTCTGGGAAAACACAAAAGCAGATGTTCCTCATTAGGAACACCCATTGTCTACATATCACAACTATGAACAGATAAATCTCTCCTATTTCACCCATACATTCCAGGGGCTGTAAATGATTACAGGATGCCGCTGTAACTGCTAAACCAAAACCACACTCTGGGCTAAAACAATTCCTCCGTCACATATTTCACTAGAAGGTACGGAAATTCCCGTGAAGATCCATCCTTTTGCCTTCTCCTTGCCTCGTTGGGCTCGAGGATACCCCAAAACTGGGGGTCTGAAGTGTCAGCAGCAGTGAGGAGCAGTGCTGGGGCATCCGGATCACAATCCCGCCCGGAATGGATGCGCTCGCAGTGCATCGCCGAGCGTGTGCTCTGCAGCGGGTTTCCAGATGGTACCATCACAGTCCTACTGCTAGTTGGCATCTCCGCGGGTAGTAAATACCCCCCTCCCCAATAAATCTGGCATTATTCTATAGAGTTTAGGAGACTTATCATTCCAAGTGTGTCCTACTTTCCTGTATGGAAGCCAGACATCTGCTTATCCCATTTCTTTCATACGGAGTTTGGAATAGCTTTAGTTGAGGGGGGGTGGGGGGGTGGGATAAAAAGTTTTGTCATATTTAACAGCTGTTACAGAATTTCAATCCCGTAGGCTCTTAAAATACTTTTGGGCTGACCTCAGGTTTTGTGGATAATTGGCATTGGTGGGAGCCACCCCCCTTAACCTTTCCTTGCCTGGAATTTCAGATTATTTCCCCTCACCACGTTGCCCGGTTGTGCTGTTTGGGGGGGGGGGGGGTTGAATGCTGGCTGGCCGGTGCAGCGCTTTAATTCCTTCCTCCTCCAAGTTTACACCTTTGGCGCGGCGGCTGGAGGGCGATGGGGGTGTATTTTTTCGTCAGCAGCAGCGTTTCCTTTCACTTCCCGTCACAAAGGTGAGAGCCGCTGACCTTTGCTGGCAGTCCCGGCCGCTGAATTATTCATGTGATTGACTTTTTGTCAGTGCACACAGTTGTGCTCTGGGACATTTTATTCATTTACCTCATTTAAAGCGCCTTTCTGCACCTGTTCAAGTATTAATATCATGTAATTTGGGCCTAATGCCGATTTTGCTGAACACTCATTATATTTTTTATTAGCTATATTTCCAAACGATTATGTATGATTATTACCAAGCCTTACAAACAGCAATGGGTTATTCCCTAGACCTTTACATCTTCTTGTCAGGTTGTTTTCAGAAGCAAGGAGGATAAACATTTGACCAGTCCCAATGTTTTTATTCCTACTCCATATCCAACCAGAGAACTTAAAGCTTTTTCCCTTATGGCTTTGCGAAAGCATGATTAAATCCAACTCTGCAGAAGCTGTACAAATGCCAGCATTTATAAGGTCAACGCTTTTGTTAAAAATGCTATGTAAATGAGGATCTGCAAAAAGGGACATTAAATAAAATTAAATTCATTGTCTTCTTTAATGTCATTTACATTTTGGCTAAGCCCTGGCCTGTCAAGGAGGATTTTTTAAATAATTTTAATTACACATCATTTAGGGATCCAACGTTTTCTATTCAGTAGCATTTGGATAACCTGCAAAATGGTGACTGTTTATTAACTTCTTAAATGACAACTTGTCATTTCATCTGCATAACGCCAGGAAAACAGACCACTCTGGTGTCATTTTTGGTTTAAATTCTTATTTTTGTCTTGAAGATGATCTCCCAACTCCTGGAAGAATAGGCCTTAAAATAGCTCAGTGCTCTTCTGCTCTCATTGTCCTGTTGGCGCTACCAAGTTCAGAGTGTGTTGAAAAATGCCAAGTTTCCTGAGTAACCAGTTGT